TTTGTATTTTACTTAGCTGACTTAATAAGAGCTCTGGCTTGTGTAACAAGATGGCAATGAACGAACAGCACTTCAATTCTTTTTACTTCCTTTATTAAACATTTATCTGTCTATTGGCTAATGCAGGTTACGTGGTGCAACACTACTACAGGGCGGCACAGATAGCTCGTTTGACTTCACTGCATGCTGCTAAGGAACTCCCTCCGTGGGTTTACTTAGACATGGTGGAGGTTTCCCCTACGCCGTTCTGTAATCTGATTTGGCTTTCCCCACACCTTCATCCTCACATTCAAGAACCCACGTTGCGTTTTTCCTTGACTGGGTGGGATGCGGTTACGTTTTCTGGAGGTTTGATGTCCTCTGTCCGGGATATTACATTCTCCCTTGTCCCCCCATCTGCTTTTAGGAATTGGCCAACCCAGGCATTTAAGTATGCTTACAATTTTTTTAACAATTGCAGGGCTTAAACCAAGAGGGTTTGGAAACTTCCAGATCCCGAATTGTTTAGTTATTTGCAATTACGGCATTTCTTGCTTTCCATTTCTCTACACCACGGACGATCTCCACTTTTGAACGCCGATGCTTACAGGATCCCCACTTCTCAGGTTTCATGTCTTCTTTGCTCAGTGAATTAAATGCTCCTAAACGCCTATATGAATAAGTGGGAGCGAAACCTGGGCATTACTCGTGATCACTCCGATTGGTCCCCTATTTGGACTCAAGTGGTCAAAAGCTCACGTAACGTAATCACATTGGAAAATTCTTAAAACGTGCTCATGTTATGGTACCAAACGCCAGTGTTTCCAAATTTCTCCCCATGGTATCTTCTGATTTGCTTTAGAGGGTGTACTTTACATGGCACTATGTTTTTGGCATCTGGTGGGAATACCCCAAGGAAGGAGAATCTGATAAATGTTCTCATCCTTCCCTGCACAATTTCAAAAAAAGCTTTATTTTTGAGATTTGAATGGATAGCCCGTAGAATATATGTAAAGAGCAGTCATGTTAAATCTTCCCTTCTGAGACTCCATTTGTTTTATTGGCCTTCTCTAAATCACACATGTAAAATGTGATTCTTTAAGGGGCACTTGTATATGATGGCATTGTGACTATTTGCATTACTCCTTGAACAACCTGGACCTAACCCAGTGCCCCTCTGGCATCCCAAATCAGGCAAAGCAATAGGTTGGCTTCAATCCTCTATGTACTCTAGCCTATTCTTACCTTTCCTTCTGGTTATGGAGGAGCATGTGACTAACTCCATGTAACGGCACTGGACCAGTCAATGATGCCTTAGGAGAGTCCATAGCTTTGTGTAAACGGCAAACTTTATTTGTTTCTATTAGCTGAACAGAGCAGTAAAGGTATGGCTTGGAAGTAAGCATATTCTTAACAGAAAGGGGAGCTTTGAAGTGAACCTGTTTGCCCGGCCCAAGCACAGGTTAACTTTGAGGGGTTTTTTTTTTTCTGGTAGGAAATTGTCTTTTTTTCCAAATGTATTTAATAATTACTAATTAGCTTGCTCATCTTAGAAACCAAGCTCTATTTACTGCGTACAGCTCACTTGTTGCTTTACGGTGGTTGCAGCTATAATGTGTGGATGAGTCATTTGTGACTCACAGAAGTATAGCTGCAATCTGTGTCAAATGTATTTTTACTAGACCCAAATCTACTCTAGACATCTAATTGAATGTTAATGGTGTATACTATGGCAGAAATCTCTGAAGAGGAGAGAGAAGTGTGTGTTTGAGCTGGTCAGTGTATTACTGTGTGAAGGTCTAAAGGTGGTTTGCAGACAGAATTCTGTTCAATACTGTTACCTTGGATGCTTTCTTTTTTTTTTTTTTGGGACACATTGTTTTGCGGCAGTTCCATCTCATTTCCAATTCAGCTCAAGGTCGCTCTACCTCACAACAGCTGATATTATAAACAGAAGTAAAAATGACATGCAACGTTACATCTATCATTTTCTCAATTATTTTCTTCATACTTTCGGATATTACAAGTTTCCATGGTGTTACATTTTACAGACTTACTCTGTCATTACCCCTCTGTCATGGAGTTTGTAGAATGTGGTGTAGCCTGGGATTATGTAAGGTGGTGTGATAACTTAACATTTAATGAGATACAGCAGGCAGAAGCTGTGCTGACAGGAGCAGGATTTGGAAGAGGTAGGTAGCACTATTAACCTGTCAAAATACTACTGGATTAACAGTGGTATGCAACATAAAAGGGACCAAGGGCTCCATTTGTATCTACAAGTAACGTGGAGGACAACATCTAAATCTCTTTTTAAAATGTTTTTATTTTAAATTCAGGCAAGGACATACGTATTGCATTAAGCCCAGAAAATTACATGCTTATTACAGAATAAGCCTCTTCCAGGAAGCTCCATCCTCAAGTTGC